AAAAGCCATTTAAGCATTTAAAAACAGTCAAACATTTGTGAAAGTTCCATCTGGCGGTTAAACTAACCCAGCCAAGACTTCTAAACAATGTTTCTGTACGATCTTCTGACTAATAGTTGACCCATAATTTCATTCGGGGAATACTGTCAACTAAGTTAACTTAATAGATATCGAGGTCGTTAATACTACTTACTTGGATCACATCCATAGACAGCTGCCTGCATACATGTAGAACCATTCAACGGAATTGGATGAATTCTAAGGTATCGTGCTTTAACAAAAGATGTAAAGTTGTTGGCAGTTGGAGAGCGGCCGCTGGTAAACTGCAAGAAAAGTATTACAAAAGCATTAAATGGATTGCCAGAAAAAGAAACCTAGAGATTTTGGCGCAAATTATTTATGACAATTTTTTTAATTGTCAACAGTTAATTAATTTAGATTTTTAAAACAGTTTTTGCTGTAGTTCATATAGTAACTTACAATGTGCTTCTTGCCATCCTTCTGGTACTCTGTCCAGTTTCCATTCGTATCGTTAGAATAGCTCACATAGAAAGATTTTATGTACGAGTCGCCCACAGTATTATCAGTAATTCCTTTTGTCTTCAATGTTGTAAAAGTAGTATTTAATTCTATAAGAGGAAATACAGATATACGTTCATAGAAAATACTTGCAAAAATTGAAATATCAATAGTCTATTGGAATGACGTTAGTTGCAATTTATATCAGAAATATATATATTGAAGAAATAGAAAAAGCGCGCGCTTGCTGTGTGCAGTTATAAAGCGCGCGGAGGTTTGCAGAACACGAAAGAGGTGTCAGGAGAAGCACGACGCGTAGTGGAGTGCTTCTCAACACTTCTCCAGTATTCTGTCAATCCCCAAGAGCTTTATAACTGCACACAGGAAAGCAAGTTTTTTATTTCTTTTATAAAATATAAATTAAAATAGCCTTTATTTTTGTTAGTCATGATGCAACTGAAAGTGTGCTCGCGTGCTGTGTGCTCTCATAAAGCACGCGCTCCCAACCAATCAGAACGCCAGATTTATAGCGCTTTTTTTGTATAATTATCTATACTCACCAAAGTCAATCTGAAGATATGGCGCAGTATCGTTTATTTTGGCGCACCATCCGCTACGATATAGTGGCGGGATCTCTCTCATGTTGAGCCTGCCTCTGTGAGGAGCATAGCTTGGGTCACGCTGCGAAGATGCAGTTATTTGGCTATCAGAGAGACGTAGATGTTCCTTGCCGTCATTTCCTGGTACCATGACGCCCAGTTCTTTTTGGACACAGCCTACACAAGTGGCAAGAGTAGCATTCATTAGCATGTCTTAGTTGTTAGTCATCATTTATTTATAATTGGAAATCAATATTCCTCATATGTGTGCAGTTAGCCTAGATTTCAATTTCATTATTTGCAAATGCCACCATAATGAGTTGGAATTAAGATAACCAACTACTTTTAGTTGCGTAAGGTTATACACGACTTTCAAAAATGGCCGCCAACCTCGGCTGGGACTAAGGACAACAGAATGGAAGCGAGGTAAGTAAGGCCTCATTAGCAAACAAAGTCTACTCAGTACGATATTTTGTGTCAAAGTCATTCATTAAGCGTCTTTTGAAGTAAGGGTGAATGACTTTGACACAAAATATGAGTGTGAAGTCTGGGAACGCAAAGAATGATATGCTTATAAGATGAAATTCATTATTAGCCTAGGCAAGTAAGTATATAAGTAAAAGTTATTATTTGTCACTAGCTGAAAGTAGCTCAGAAAAATATCAGACTCCCTAATAGGTATGCCTAGTTGTATAATTTACCTATTTGACAGTTTCTGCCAAAATATCCCGGCAAACAGTTGCAAGTATACCCAACATTGCTCACACATGTTCCACCGTTAAGACATGGGTTAACACTGCATGAAGCTGAAATACAAGAGGAAAAATTCAAATTACCGATTCATATGATAATGAATTGATATAATCAATATAAGACCACTCAGAAAAATTTTTATACAAATTAGCCAATCACGATTGAGTATTTAAACGATAGATTCTGTTCCAATTTTAAATTATGTATGTTCAGTAGTGAACAAAAAAAAGTTTAAAATCCAGAATTCACTTAATTTATTCGGCGTCAAAAAAGTGTCTGTGAATTTGATTTAAAATTTGTTTGGGTGGCCTTGGTTAATGCAGTTGCACTGTAATATAGTTTCTCAAACTCTAGTTACCTTTCAATATTACATCCATTATGTTTTCGGCGTCGTCTACAGGATTATTGCCAATGGAGGGTGGAACTACATGCTCATTATTCGTAGATATGTCGTTCGCCTTAGAATTATTTGGGCTAAATGGAATAGGGATAACGAGAATCTTTTCTTTTTCCAGGCGTTTTGTTGCCTCGCTTARTATTTCAGGTTCTTGATCTGGTGTGTGGTCATACATGATAACGGCAACCTTATTTGCGTCTTTTCTTGCCTTTGACCCGTTTAGCATTTCACTTGCGGCGTTAGTCACTTTAGTGATGTTCAGACTGCCTTTAGTCGCGTTAACAGAATCAATGGTTGCTTCAAGCTCTTGCTTGGTTGGAACATCTGAAGATAAGTCTATTCTTTTAGAGGTGGTATTTCCAAAGGTAACAAATCCGTAATGGATTTTCGTGTTGCCATATCGAATAATGATATTCTTGATGATGTCTTTGATACGATTCACGATTTCGGTGCTGTTTACCGAAGAAACACTGATTGCAAAGACGATATCAGTTTTAGGGACGCCATCTAGAAAAAAAAATTGTAACGGATTATTTTTCAAAATATAATTCTATGATATAATGATAGAAGATCACACCTACCGCCAATAATTCTTTTYATGATTTCATCCACCACTTGTCTTGGTCCATCATCATTTGCAGGCCTGATCACCTTTCTATCTGTTCTTGCAATTTCTTCCATCTCTTCAGAACTTGGAGCATTTCCAATGCCAACGACGAGTGGAATAATTTCTTTTTTGTCGAGAGGTTTCAAAGCATCTTTAATAACTGTTTCGTTAGCACCAATTGTCTTGTGTACCATAACCACCAAAGCTTTCTTTGATTCCGGTTTTATTGGTGTTTTATCAAAGACTCTCTCCACCTCTTTCATCGTTGCATCGAAATTTAAAGGAGCATCGGACTTTGGGAGCTTGTCGACTTCCTTAGCCAGCGTTTCTTTATCAGGTAAGGTTTGCTCAAAATCAAATAAGGTCTTTGGTGGGTCTCCAAACGTTACAATGCTGTAGTGGATTTTCTTCATGCCATATTTATCTCCCATTAGTTTGACAGTGTCGGTCATCAGCTGGTACGTTTTGTTATCCATGGCCGCTTCAGTTGTAATGGCGAATGTCAAGAAAATCTCGGGCACTAGGAAATAAAAGTTTAAAACGGACTTTAAGACGAAAAAATATGAAATACTCGGAAACTAAACACTTGCCAGAATGCGACGGAAAAAGTCTCTCAACGTGAATATAAGCATTTTTGTTGGTATTGAAAGTCAAAATATTCACAAGATAAACTACAAGTATACTTACGACCAATAATTTTAGAGATGATTTCCTCTCCTATTTCCCAGGATGGTGTATTAGCAGGAGTCTTGATTACATTGTCTTTGAAGATGGTGATTGATTCAATCTGATTGTTAGGCACGTCGTTACCGATAACAATAGGGATTTGCGTAATTCCAATATTCTGTAGCTCTCTTGTAGAWTTTTTTAGCACCTCCTCGGTGGAGTCAGAAGGTCTATCAATAATGGTGACTAATACTTTTCGAGAGTTTGGACGAACTGGTACCTCTTGGAATAATTGTCGAACACCATCCAAAGCCTTCTGCAGATTTGGGGGCTGTGTTGTTTCTCCAGTAGTAAGATTTTCAATCGTATCAAGAATTTCTTTTTCGTTAGGGAAATCATAACCAAAGTGGAATATTGTTTTTGGTGTTGAACCAAACACGACAATACTTGTTCGGACTCGGTCGTCCCCATAACGATAGATGATAGATTTGATAATGTCTTTCATTAGTTTTGTGACGTTTGCACTGATGGCAAACATGATATCAATTTCTGGAATACCATCTGGAAAAAAACGTCGTATTTCGAAATTATTAAAACTGGGATGATATTTTAGCATTTTAACATCAATGTGGATTAAAAACGAGGTCATCTGCACTTTAATCACTAGAATCACATTGATTTTGTTTATGCAAGGTTTTATTTGCTTAATAATTATGCCTTACCTTTAAGGATTCTTGCAACAATTCTGTCACCAAGGTAACCACTAGTATCGCTATTAGTAACCTGGATTACGTCATCTTTTCTGGTTGTCAATGCTCGCAGTTCTTCTCTTGGTGGAGCATCACCAATGGACGACGCAACAACGATTATTCCTTGGTCGTGAAGTGGCCTTGCTGCTGATTCAAGAGCCGGTACAGTTTGACCAGACGATTTATCTGAGATCACAACGATTGCTTTTCGAGAAATTGAACGGACTTTTGAGTTAGTGTCCAGTATGTTTTTGGCTTCGTTAAGACCGTCTATCAACTTTGATGAACCAGGAATATTAGCAACTTTATCAACGTTGGCAAGGAGTTCTTTTTCAAAAGGAGTTTTACTGTCAAAGTCAAATTCCTTCTTGATGCTGGCGTCACCGTATACAACAACGCTATAGTGGAACCGATCAACTCCAAATTTATCAGAAATCTGTTTGATTGCGTTTTTCATTGTCTGGAATGTCGTATCCTTATTAACAGAGTTAGCATTAATGACAAACACAACGTCGACAAATGGAACTGTAAAAAAATAAAAGAATGTTGATATAAATACAATATCAATATACTCACTGAGTGTAGTCATTATATATTATTAATATTAGACTTACGTCCAAGGAATTTCCTCATGATCTCCTCTCCAGTTTCTACAGGATTTCTGCTTCTAGTCACAGTCAGAGGATRGTCTTCAAAAGCAGTGATCGTCTCCATTTCTCGGTAGCTTACATCACTGCCGATTCCAACAGGAATAATACGAACCCCAATTTCACGGAGAGGTGAAGATACGTTTTTCAAGACGTTTTCAGTAAGGCCAGATCTTTGATCGAACAGAATCACTACAATTTTCCAGGAATTKGATCTYACATGGTTTGTTTGGTAGATTCGCTTAGCTTCTTCCAAAGCCTTGTCAAGTGAGGTTCCTGGGTCATTTTTGGGAAGTTTTGAAAATACTCTTAAAAGGACTTCTTTATTCGGGAACTGATTGCCAAAGTCATACTTAGTCGTAGGCACGCTTCCATAGAAGATAAAGCTGTAGTAAATTCTGCCATAGCTGTACCTCTGGATTATTGATCGAATGACATTCTGTATGAAAGTGTACGTTGCATCAGATTCAGCTGCGACGGCATTGATGATGAAAGTTAGGTCAATATCCGGCATGTCAACTGTGAAAGCAATGGCAACAGAAAAACAACATTCAATTTCGCCATATTAATCATTGTCAGTATTGAAGAAACACGGTCACGTGATATCAGCCATGTTTCCAAAAAAATGTATGTATTCGTATTTTTTTCATAGTTTCGTCTATGTTCCCCTTTTTACGTCTTGATACCACTTATACCAGAATCATCCAGTACACACTTTTCTTTTGTTTCTTTAAATAACACCATTATCTTATGACTACCAATCGAATCAAAGCATTTAAATGAGAGTAAAGAATAGGCCTTTTGCAGCTAAGCAATCACGTGCTGATTAATTCACTGAGAGGAAATGAAGGAACATCTTGATTCCCATGGGTGAAATTTACTGGAATGCAAACAAACTTTTTACAACCTGTTTCGAGAGATCGTAATAATACTACATTTCGTAACACACTGGATACACATGTTTTCATTCAGTTCTTTACAATTAGCTAGATAGAGTCACCAATTTAATATAAAAACAAAAATTTTGCATTCCACTACAGACACGTGACCGTTAACTGCAAAGGGCCTATTACAAGAGGATTCAGTTGCTAGTAGTATGTTATATATAGTAACGTAGTAGGGGAATTGTGTTATTTTAAATTGTGTTTTCAAAATCTTAAAATCTTTGTCATTAAGTACATTGGAATTGGGTATATAATGCTGGATGTCACTTTTGTCTGAAATTTATGATACATATAAGATAAAAGTAGGTAGCCAAACGAAATACCACTAAAAAGAGTTGAGATCAAGTTTAGTAAACTTACGTCGATAAACCTTGTGCATGATTCTTTGTTGAAGATCATTTTTAGTAATTCCTTTGTAAACATGGATTACGTCATAATCATTAGACGTCAGCCCTTGGAGTTCTTTTGTTGTCACTTCATTTTCAATACCAACTGGGATTATTCTTATGCCTTTATTTTCCATTGTATTTACACGAGGTTTCAAGTTCAGATCTTTCGCAGTATCTTTATCAGTGATAATCACAACAACATGGTCGGCATTTTTTCGTACTTTCGGGTCATTGAAGCCATCTTCAGCCAGTTTCAAAGCCTCGTCGAGAGCGTTTGGAGTTCTTCCATCTGATATCTTATCAAGATTGTCAAAAAATTTGCCAAAGGCGTTCTTGTCAAGAAACTGGGATGTAACCTGGGTGAAGGTCCTGACTACTATTGCCGGTGGACTTGCTGCTTTGGAACCGAATATAATAATGCTGTAATAAATGGTCTTTATCCCATACGTGGTGGCTATATCTTTCAGCGTTTCTCTCATGAGCGGATAGATACGTGCCGTTCCAGAAGAAGTTGAGCTGATAACGAATGTAATGTCAAACTCTAAAAAAATAATCAAAAATCAAAAAAGCAAAAAAAGCAAAAAAAGCAAACTTTAAGCACTGAGGGACATATTTACATTTGAAAGACGATCTGCTTTCTTTGAGGCAGTTGGAGTAATCCTCTTTGCCTCGAGTGTGTCAAAAGACACATAACCTATCTAGCTATTTGATACGTATATATCTATAGTCTATATACGGCATCCCAGTTTATCTACCTTTAATGGCTCTGGTCATGATACCCTGTCCAAAATGCCGAGGTTGTTCTTCATTGGCAACATGCATGACGTAAAACTTGTTAAGCGTTATCCAGTCCAGTTGATTTCTGTCTATTTCCGTACCGACTCCTGCACCAATAACCTTAATCTCTTTGTCTGTGAGTTCCTTTACTTTGCTCTCAACGTTTGCCTTGGTMGTACTGGTATCCTTATCTGTCATGACGATCAATACTTTCCTAGCATTTGGACGTAGAGGATTTGCATTGTCAAACATTGTCTTTGCTTCGTTCAAAGCATTTTCCATGTTAACGGTTCCGCTTTCTGGAGTTGCCCCATCGATTCTAGAGGACACATATTCTTTGGAAACTGAAGAATTAGTAAAATCAAAAACAGTGGTTGCAGTTGCTCCAAAAGTCATGGTTGCATATCTTATCCGATGTACACCAAACAGAGTGACTATGTCTTTGGCCGTCTTTTTCATTAGATCGAGATTCTGTGAAGCGTTTGTAGGAGATGTGGCACTCATGGCAAACAGGATATCCATGTCAGGGTACGCTGTAATAGAAATGGTTATTTAGTATTGATATGTTTGGTATATACGGTCAGTCAGTCAGTTGGTCAGTCAGTCAGTCAGTCAGTCATGCAGCAACAGTCATACAAGAACACGGCAGCCGTCAGTTACAGTCATGCAAGAACACATGTCCGTTAACTTACCGTCTATGCATCCATATGCTTCAACTCTAAGAGAAGATCCCCCTGGTTTCAAGGAAGCATCAGGCTYTACTGGCATGTATCTGATATAGCGAGTATTGACTGGGTCACCCTTATTAACCTCAACATACGAGACATGAGTTCCAGGCACTGGTGGTTTTTTAGTACTATAGTATCTCTAAAATTCAAAGTTGCAAGGAATAATAAATATCATGCTTCTGGTGGTCAAACAATCTACAAACTACATCATCAGCCATAAAGAAATCAAATCAACCATAGCCATAATCAACCATTAGACCTTATTAGACCTTATTAGACCTTATTAGACCTTATTAGACCTCATTAGACCTCATTAGACCTCATTAGACCTCATTAGACCTCATTAGACCTCATTAGACCTCATTAGACCTCATTAGACCTCATTAG